ATTTCTATAATATATAATTATAACTTTTTATACAAAAAACCGACCTCAAAAGTTTGTAGAATTACATCTACTTGCTAAGTTTTATCGAAATCGGTTAACGGAACCCATAAACCAGATCCATCTCTTACTTTTCCACCCTTAAAGGTAAAAAATAATTTGTTCAAATTTGAATGAGACCACTACCGAGGTTCCCCTTTTCCAACAAAAAAAAAGGAATCATCGAAATCGGTACACAAAAGGTCCAGAATAATCGTGTAACACACACACAAAAAGTACAGATTAAGAACCTCCTCTTTTTTGAAATCGGGTAAAAATTAATATAACGGTAGTAAACACACGTTGATTGCGTACGGACTCACTTGATATAGTTGGCTTTCTTGTCTTCTTTCCAGTCCTTGTTAAGCTGATGCACCTTGCAGGCGGTGTAGCGCTGCTCGCGCAGGTCAAATGCCTTATGAACCTCGCTAAACCCGCCTTTGCCGAGGAGCATTAGCAATAGGTATCTGGAGCAATATTTACAGTTAATGTTATAGTATCATCATATTCCTAATAATTAGCAAAATTGAAAGTTGCTACAGTCAAAAATTATATGAACAACCAAGTCCAAAGTTTTCTTCAAAACTTTGCTGACACAATATTTTATATTCTATATATATAATTTGTGGCGGTAATTGTCGATATTATCATAAACAAACATAAATGTATTACTCTAAATTTCGTTTCACAAAAAAAAAGGATGAATTGTGTAAGAAAACATTACGGTATACTTTAGATGTCTAGATGGCGTAACTAATATTCTTTGGTGTTTTATCATGTGATAAAACACCAAAGAATATTATTTACACCATTTGTACATTTTACAAATAGTCCACAGTAAACAAAGAATTAAATACGGTATGGTTGCGCATTCCCATAGAGAGGAAAACGATAAGTAGTCAGGTGAATGACCAGTATTCCTACGTACATAAAGGCTTACTGTGCCACTTGTTCAATAAATAACGGTATTTCGCGTAGAAACGTTAAATCATTTTTGGAGTAATTTTGTTAACAGTACGAATACTGTAAGGGAGATGTCACACGGGCGTTGCGTCATGGCAACCGCGTTATGCCATTATTTCAACGAACTGAATGCCACACGAGCTACTCCATCGACGCGCGCTGTTTCAATGCACCGTGTGGCATGTCGTTATGATTAAGGAAGATGCCACATGGGCGGTGCCTCGGCGTTGCGTCGTCTCATCTGCGTTGATTTCAAGGGACTGAGTGCCACACGAGCAGTTCCGTCGACGCGCGCTGTTTCAACGCATCTTGTGGCATGTCATTCTGATTTATATGATGTAAACACGCCAGCGCATCAAGCTACACATTGACGTATCTTGTTCCGTTGCACTGGAGGCGATTTTCGAACAGAAATGTGTAGTCTGATGTGCCGTTGTCCGTACAACGCAGTTGCGACGACGCAACGCCCGTATGGCATCTCCCTTATATATAGTATGACGCGCAACGCCCGCGTGTATCTCCCTAATGTACAATTTTGATGATTTGTGCGAAGAAAACAAAATGAAAAATCTGAAAAAGACTAATGGTATATTTTTTTTTATATAATGTTAAGTGACGGCACGAACAAATCGTGCGCGTGATGGAAAGCTACACGCCTGTCCATAACAATTGCAGTGTCCTCAGAGCTTTATATCGTAAAGATCTGAGGGGTACTGCCACTGCACCCGTCACCATGACACAAGTTAAATGTCCCGTGTGCCTGTAATTTCACCGTAATTATTAATACAAAGAAAGAACACTAAGAAAAATTCTTTCGATAAAGCTGGATTCGAACCAGCGCCTTCAAACATACCGTGGCAGATGCTCTCCCAACTGAGCCACGGAACTAACCACCAGGCTTTACGAATTTTTCTAAGTACTTGTTATTAGTAGATATTTGTTTTTGTTATTATTTTAAACGACTTTTTACCGTAGCGCCATCTGTGAGAAATATAGCTACAATCGGATGGAAATAATTTATCTTAATATTCTCTCTATCTTTGTATTAATAATTAATTATAACAACCTACGAGTATTTTTACAAAAAAAAAAATCATGATAGTAAAACATTGTGACAGATCATAAACTTAAGAAGGAATACCAATGGTAACTATATTATAATGTAGCAATAACTAAAATGTCTACTATATAATAACGCACACACTCAACATAGCCCCGCACTAGGGAAACCCTGTGTCGCGGGTGCCATGGACACACACATAGACAACCACAAATTACACCCAAACTCACGAGAGAAATAAATGTAGGCCATACAAATATTTCTTCCGGCCCGGGAATCGAACCCGGGGACCTCTGCGTGGCAGTCCGGTATGGTAACCGTTCGGCCACGGAGGCAGTTACACCTACATATTCATTCAATGAAGACATATAACTGCCTCGTTTCTTTAAGGCAGTTAAGAACCAGTCGTCTATAAAAAATGTACAGAACAAAAAAGAGATCTCACCTTTCAGAGAGCACTGGATGCTGCGAAAAGCGGCTCTGGTCTTCGTTGTGTATCCGTTTTAGTTCCCTAATGTGCAGGTTACGCTCCCGCTCTAGTTTCTCCATTTCTAGCTGCAGGTCTGCGTCTTCTTTCTTTAGCGCGCTTTGTCTCAACTGGAATATATATTTTTTATTATTTTCACACAATTGAACACTGTAAATATAAAAAAAAACATATACGAACTACATCAGATCTTATTATATTAATGTCACAGTTGTTGCCGATTCGTGTAACTGTCGTGTACACTAATTGATTTCAAACTTCCACCTTTGACACGTTTAAATGGAACATCGTTTCTTTTTTCTCCCGCAGCTGCGACGCAAATCGCATAATAACAGTGTATTGGGATCAAAAACTCCACACTCATTACAAATATATAAATGTAATTTTTTGTCATTCAACCAACTAACATAACACGAAAAATAATCTTTAGGAAAGTGACAAAACAGCCATATGACATTTACATGTGGTACAGCTGGTACTAAATACGTCAAACTTCTATTTAATATGCAAAAATGTTAGTTTTTATTTCAATTATCATTGGTTCCAAGATAGTTTCTGAATTAAATTAGTTTTATGTATCATAGAGGTTTGTAAACTGGTATTGTGTCTTAAATAAATGAAAATTAAAAAAAATTGTTTTTCTTTTAGTTGCCTAAAAATGTTACCTTTTTAAATTATGTTACTTTATTATATTGTGGATGCGATATGTTTCATGTCAATACTTAACATCTGTCCGAACATGAAGACTTACAGTTAGCCATATAAAGTTGATAAATTATGCAAATTACATCTATCGATGCGATGTCTCTGCGTATCGGTGCAATTGTATTGCTCAATAAAATGAAAAACTATAGATGACATTGACACTTGACTACTGCTTGGTGGAAATGGAACGTGTATTATTAAATTAAATTATAGTCTGTCTTTTTTGAAGACAGAGTAAAATGATATTTGTAGGGTTGCCAGTTTTCATAAAATTTTAAATAGTTATGTAGTTGTTGTCGATAGTTTTATCGATAGATTATGATAGAAGATAACATTTTGCCAAAAATGACTGAATTGTGAATGTTACGACGTTCTAATGATTACTAATTGCGTTATTGCCTTCTCTATTATTATTTTGACTGATGGCCTACTAATATCGAGATAAAGTTTTATTCATATACATTTTAACACGGAATAGCCGGATTTGATTATCTAAATTGAATTAAAGTGAAAATGTATAAAATATGTCTCCTCTTTGTACTTTTCATAAATATGGTCTAAATACTGCGTATATTCGTATGAACTTACAAAAATTGGCAATTCAAATGAAATTGTGCTCAGTAATTGGATGAATAATGGGTCGAGGATGATTCAAATGTAACAAGTTCGGCTATTTATTGCATAAACGTGACCAATATTCAGTCGATAGTCGATATAATATTTATCGACTGCAATCACTAGCTGCTTGCAAGCAGGCAGCACTTTTGCGCAATGAACTGTCATTTTACTCCGTCTTCAAAAAAGACAGACTATAAGTGAATATAACACAAAGGACTACGTCGACTTTGTAAACAAAGTATTAATTCTATCTATGCCTAGAGACATGTAAATAAATGAGTACCGTGAGGGGATTGACCTCGTTATTAAACACAAAATAACGTCTTGTTTGGTAAGTTTTCCAGTTTAGAACAAACGTCGCCAATTCTACGGTGATGTACGGACAACGGCACATAAGACTACACATTTTGTTTGTTCGAAATCGCCTCCATTGCAACGGAACAAGATACGTCAATGTGTAGCTTAATGTGCTGGCGTGTGTACACAAAAAAAAATAGAGAGATGGACTGATCTCGCCAGCGCCCATGTAGGAAGTTACCTTAAGTATTTCATCAGCCTCATAGTACTCCTGCCAAGTCATGCTGGGCAGAGGGTCAGGCTTGAGGAAGGTGGGCGGGTCGGTGCCATTATGCAACGGTTGCGGTTGCGGCGTGGTAGGTGCCGCCGCATTGGCGGTACGCTTGCCGCGCCCGCCCCCGCCCTCGTTGTTCGACGGTCGCTTCTTGAACAGCAACTTCTTTTGCCGATCAATCTCTTCTTTTTCCGCCGTTATTTCTTCTTGCCGCCTGTTCAAATAATTAAATCGCAGAATTAATTTACTATTTTGAGACTCACATCGACGAAAATAGTATTTATCCCTTCTGACAATGAGTATCGTTATTATACTCAGATAATTTTAATTAATTCTAAATGCCTTGTTGGCATTCTTATCTTTAAAACAAACAACTTTTCAAACATCGCACAAATATTTTGGACTTCGCATGTCAACTTCATCACGCATCAGTTCTTTTTTTATACAGCTAAGTCACGGAGTGAACAAGTCAAGCGCCTGGTGGTAAACAACACGCCCTTCTTCATCAATTTGTGAGATTTAGTATTAGTTTTGTAATAACAGTATTAACAAATTTTGTCCATTATGATACCTAACAGTAGGCAACTAGCCCGGCAGTTCAGGCGTCACAAATTCTGAAGGTGGATATATCAGGAATCTGATTCTCGTTGATCGGCACAACAGTTGGTTAGTTTGCACAATGCTTTTTGCCAACTTAGATACAGTATTTGTAGTCATGATAGCCTGAAGATAGAGTAGCATGAAGCAGCAACTAGAATTAGAACCAAAATCCGCCACTTGTACGGAAGGTATAAGGTATATACAATCTAGAGGCAGAGAAAGGCTGTAGGGGTGAGTGTGGACGCCTATCACAGGATTCAAAGGATCCTATTAAAGCAGATCCTCAGGATCGATATGAGGTCGAAAACCTACTCAAGCAATGACAGTAAGTTCTATGAAGGAAAGCTTTTAAATTTTGTTTTCCTTCTACAATCTAAACGTTGTGTAATTATAACACGTTAAAACAAATACTTAAGTAAAACTTTAACGTTGACATTGCGCGAACTAGGTATTTATTATACTAGTTCGCCTCCGCCGTGTGTGTGCCGCACCAACAGACTCCTGAGTGTGTTCATAGATCGATGTGACTCCCCAATATTACATCATTGGGTGCAGCTCCACTCCAAGACAAAATTTTCATCTTTATTTTATTGTTGTATGTTGAGTGTGTGCATTATTAATATTATTGTCAAATCTACTAACACTAGTCCCGAGCGAATTTGTTACTTTATTATTATTACTAGAATAACATCATTTCGTATATTCGATAAATCCCCACTGAAAAATCCTCTCTGCTGGGGATTGTTATGTTTATCACTAATACTTGCGAAATATACCCATCATTTTAGTGATTCATAAGAGTGTAAATACGATAATGACGATGAGTAATGACGCTGTTAGTTTGCGAACCTTTTTTACTAAGAACTTTCACGTTGATTATTTCACGTAGTATATCAATAAAAAAATTATGAAAATTGACGAGTAATTCTTAGAAAAATTATATTAAACACAAATTCACGATACAATTGCGGTAACAGGGAACCTCCCTTTTTAACGTCGTTTAAAAACATACCTAGTGAGCTCTTGAAATGCGTATCCATCAGTCCAGTTCTCTTGGAAGGTAGCGCCGACACGCTGCGTGACAAACTGGCCGAGCCGGAGCCGGTTTTGCATGCATCTTTGTCTGGCTTCCTTCTTCTCAATAGTACTCTTCTCGTTCAATAACTTCTTTACAACATCTATACACTTATTAATGTGTGATTTATGTTGCTCTATAACCTGAAATGTCGTAAACATTCATTACTATTCACCCGAAAACAATCTCTAGTGCATTCACCAGTTTAGGCTCCTTTCAATTGCATTTTAGTAGTATTTTAATTATAGTAATTTTTTTATTTATTATATTATATTGTAAACATTTGCAACTTCATAAGACGTCATTCCTAATAATTATCAATACCAAAAAAGTTTCCATTCGTAATTTATGTAATGGTCAACTTCAAATACTTTTTATAATTCTCGAAATGACAGTGTATTAAAAAAGGTGCCTCTTAATGGTCTGCAGCCGTTGTAATTTAGAGAAACGTGGGCAAACATACCTTGCTCTGTGTTTGCACCTGATGCTTCAGTTCTTCATTACTCCTTGTTAATTCTTCTATCCTATTATTCCTTAGTTCTAAATCAGATGATGCTTGAGTTTCTAACTCTTGTATCCTCTGACACGTCAGTTCTGTTTGAACCTGGGGAAAAAATTAATAATAAAATTAGCAAGTTCTAGTTGTTATTAGTTCTTGGGTTCCAAATACAACATAATTCAAGTCTCATAAGGGGTAAATTAATTTATCCATTACACTGTATCGTATCATCCAGCAACTTAGCGAATTTATCTAACCTCCTAAGACCCAGCAAACAACAATGGGAAAAGCGCTATATGCCCAATATACAAATGAAGCTACACATTGACCGATCTTGTTTCTTGTTTTGTTTCCTTACACTGGAATCGATATTCGAACAAAAGTGTTATAGCTCGATGTGCTGTTGACTGTACATTGAAATGTACTAAATATAATTACACACTTCAGGCCCAAACAAGTGTTTTGTATGGAAAACGTACTATTCTGGGTACCCAATGGTCACATAGCGCTAAATTTGAATGCGATGTTTTCATTATAACGTACGTTTGCATGATCCTAGAAATAATATTATCTGGGTATTTAACACTTTAGATTGTTATGCACACTTTTATATACAACTGGCCTTAGGAGGCTAGGGTTTGGTTAATATCATGGACCAATAACCCAAGAGGACTGCTAATCTCCATATTAAAAATCGTAGCTCTGAAAAAGGTCAAAATTCCGTCTTATTTCTAGATGGCGCTGATCGATAGCCTGGAATTAGTTTATATTTACGTAAATGGCCATGGATATCGATTAACTCCTCTTTTATAGGAAATATAGTAGATATTCTATTTTTCTTGTAATGTTTTTCAAATATTTAGTAATAAACTAAAATTATTCTCTGAACTTCGATATTTATGCGTATCAATAGATGGCATTGTTCGTTGTTAACTAATTAATAACGTAACGCTTGCGAATATAGTTAGATGGCGCAAATCCTAAACAAAATAAAAGAATACTTGGAAGTATCTATAAAAATCTGAGCAATATAGTATAACCTAAAGGAAGTCTAAATTGTCATCCGTTTGCGGTGGCGCACAGTGGGCCCAAATCGATAATTCTTGGACATAGGAATAACTTGTGGAGTATCGAGCTAATTTTTTTATGTGATAGACAATAACACTCCTAACAACTTTTATTCTTGTATGATTTCTTGAAAAGTTGATAGTTTCAGAGAAAAAAAATATAATTTTTTTTTGTGGAGAAATATACATTTTGTTCTTTATCTCAAAATATACGAAAATGTAGTGTGCGTGGGTTACTTACAGTATAGTTCCAAACATTTTCTATGTAGAAAAAAATAATCCGTCTGCATGTACTTGCGGCTTTGTAAGTAGAGGTGCGGCAAAATTGCTAACTCTTTTATGTACTTTTTTAACAAAATACATGAGCTTCGACTAAAGAAAATTTAATTTTAGTGCTAAATTACACAGAGCGTTATAACAATAACACGAAAGTTAAGTAGAAACTAGTATATTGTGTTTTATTTTTTAATAAATAACAAATCTAACATTTTGACATCTTTTTACTCGTAAAGCCGCAAGTACCTGCTGATGGATTGTTTTTTTCTTGATAGAGAATGATTGGACTTATACTGTAAATAAAGCACACATTACATTTTTCTACAATTCGAGATAAAAAAATAAAATGTTTATTTCTCCAAACAAAAAAAAACTAAAATTTTTTTCTGAAACAATCAGCTTTCCAAGAAATTACATAACAATAAAAGTTACCAGGAATGTTATTATGTATCATGTGAAAAAAATCAGCTCTGTATTCCTAAAATTGTATCATGATTAAATAATTATTTAGCCTAAAATTTATACTTTTTATTTCCGTTATTTTTAATTACCTTCAGATTAATTTATACTGGGTTGTTGGACTTTATGCACTGTTTGTAATGGATGACATATTACACACAGATTACACGAAGCTCATGTATTTTGTTAAAAAAGTACATAAAAGAGTTAGCAATTTTGCCGCACCTTT